GGCGTCAAGCATTTGGTTCGTCCGTTTCCGAGAAAACAAACTTCTTCTTACTCATCAGCTGACCCACTCCGAATCACCCATGTTGCCACGTCGGACTGATATGTTAGAATCTACACGCCTACGTTAATCTCTTTCCTTCATGATATGGTGACATATGATACATGAAATTGCATCGATTTTTCACGAGGAAGCCGAATCTGAGCTTAGATTTCGGATATTATGCGTTTTAAGTCAAATTTTCTTTTATCTATTTTAAATCACTCAGGAAAATTTGCTGAAACTCAGCAGAATAACAGTGTGTATTCTTTTAAAAACATTGATCAAAAATAAAACATTGACGGTATTTGATTCAATGAATCTCCGAGATAACTTGAACACGGTTGTTCTACGACTTTTTACGTATGTTGTATTCTTCCGTATTGGTTGTCGGCAGCGTAGCGGCCAAAGGCACCTGGTACTAATAATAGTTTTCAAAATCAATTTTTTTCTACATTCAAAATTCCAAGGAAATGGCAGAAATTTATCAATTGTTACTAATGTTTTAACAATGTTTCTTGTCAATTGTATGCTGTCGTTAAACTAAACATCCCTGGTTTACCAGTAGGCTAGGCATGCACTATATTTAACACCATGTCAAGGCTTCAGTACTTTAGAGGGGTAATTTTTTTATTTTCTATTCTACATAATCTCATTTGTTCAAGTAAGTAGCCTGGGCTTATTTGTCCAATGCTAGAAGCACATTAGCCAATCATAAAAATAATCCTAGTTTGAAAATTTTGAATTGATTCTCGACATAATAAAAAGAAAAAAAGAAAAAATATATAAATAAAATGCAGTTATAAATAACAACGAAGAGATATGAACATGATTAAATTTGCTGCAAGGGAAGATAAATCAGAAATTTGAATCAACGTACCTATTGAGTAAAGCAAAACGAGTAGGAGAAGCAGGCCAAAGGTCATTTTTACCGGATACTCAGCCATGTTATGGATATCATCTTTAATTTGCTCCTGAGTGCCTGGAAATAAAAAAAAAAAAAAACAAATTTGATCAAACAACAAACAGAAAGTCTGCAAACTTGGAAGTGCTAAGAGAGGTTAAATATTGAGTTTAAAAATTTTAGGGGCTAAAATTGATCTCACTTTAATGAGTGACCTCCAAGCCATCTCTTTTTGAAAAATACATTTTGTCCATTAATAAAGGTGTAAAAAAATTAAAAAATAGTCTAAAAATACGTTACCTCATATCAATGCTATGTAATGAAAGGGGGACAAGTTTTCTACTAGTATTTTCAGTAGGAATGAGGAGCTGCATCTTAAAGAGCGCGGTTTTTGGAAAAAAAAATGTTATGCTATAAAACATGCTGACCCGCGAATTTACTTCAGTAATACATGACGTTCATTTTGAATCACCTTATGTTTACTTCCCATGTAAACTTGGTCGAGTTAATTGGAGGAGAATAAGCGGAAAATTCTCCGTGGAAAATCGAAAAAATAACTTATGTATTAACTTTAGATTAATTTGAAGTGAAAAAGTGCGCTTCGCAAAGTTATTTTATTCGTTCATTTCCCCCTCATCGATTCTCAATAATAATTCTATTTTCAGAAAAGTCAATTTGATTTGCGGAGCGGAATCAAGTTCTTTCAAGTCAACGAGTATTAAAGTAAAGTTTCGATTTCTTCGGTGAGGCATTCCCAAGAGTTGTATTATTGGAAACAATACATTCCTCATTTGGTTCTCGAAGGGCCGGGATTCAGAGAAACCCACACATATTTATCTCTGCGCCATCGCAAGCACAGACTGAGAACTCAAAATAGATCGACTCAAACGGATTTCTCATTCGATAAGTTTCTGTTATTTTAAATCATTTTAATGAGGCGATTCATGTCCAGAAGAGTAATGATCGAACGGACTAGCGTTTGATGTATCGAATTGTTTAGGTCAAAAATACGACAATACGAAAATACAAAAACGAATATAGAAACATGTGCCTAAAAAAGAACTCGAGTGAAACTGCAAAACTGCGTATCTCGGTTGCGGCAAATTCTCCGCTCCTATTTATACGTTAAAAGGAAACCGAACCAGCACCATGGCTTGAGTAAGTTTCCACAGAATATTTTTCATAAGAAGAAGAAAAATTAATGAAAATTTCAAAAAATAACAACTGAGTTTTCCATATAAAAAATAAAGTATGACAGGAAGTCTGAAACACCGCGCCGCAAATCGAGATACGTTGAAGTTACATTATCGAACTGTTTCCAAGAAAATATAAACTTTAGTTATTATTGAGCATCATCATTATGTTCGAATGCTCACACACAGTGTTACCAGATCATGTTATGGTTCTTTATTGTTTATTTACCTGTGTCAGAATAAGCAAACTTCCATGTAATAAAACTGCAATGTGCCGTAGAGTAATCCGGCAACAGCTACCATGATGATTATTGAAGATCTTTTTGTAACTTTGAAAATCATTTGAACATTAAGGTGATGTTTTATTTTAACTTAGGTAATCATTTGCGAAAAAAAAGTACAATGTGCACGAGCAAAAATAGAATTTACCTACGAATAAAACTGCCTGCAATATATCCATACGTGTGTGTATGAATGTATGGTTAGTAAATACGTTGATTTAAAGTTGCTTTAACAAAATGAAGTCATTAACACCTTGAGAAGAGAGATCAATACAGATATAGAAAGATGATTTCCTCGTAATTTTACCGCTGCTACGGTTGTTATGTAAATTAAAGGTCCATGGATAGTTATCAGAATAACTTATTTTCCTATAAATGTGCTACGAAAGTATGTTTGGAGTCTGTTCGTGGAATGTAAGTTTCCTTAACTGGAAAGCACCGAGAGTGGAGAGAAATCGTAGTTCTCTTCGTCGTAAATTACATTAACACATGTGAAAAAGGATCATTTACTATTGTGTCGTATTGTGATTAATCGGCTGTCTTGTAAAATAATCCTAATCCTTTTTTCAAGAAAGGATGAAAATCTTGTTCTGGATCAGAAATACTTTTGCCAGTGCTTTAAGTCTCCCTATTTGAGAATTGAGCCCATTAAAATGCATTTTTTGGATTTACTAACTGTCAACTTTTTGTTGGCCTCTTTTGTCCTATCTTTCTCCTCAAAGTGTTTCATATTTTGAAGCAGTTTTGTTCTTTTTCCTTTCTTTTTCATTTTCATTAACCTTTTTGTATGAAAACCAACCCGTCATCTTATCCTCATCATGTCATTTTGGGACATTAAAATAGACACCTTTATTAGAATGAGGTATAGCTGCTGTTTGAAGTTATTAGTGCCAAAGCGTAATGTTAATGCAAACGTCAGGATGCAACTATTCGTACCCCTTGCCTGTCCGTGTCGCGTAACCACAAAATTGAAGGCGCAGTAACTTGTGCTACGCATCTTACAACAGCCGCAGACCATTCTCTTCGGTCCCTGACTTCTTACTCGAAGCCAGTCAGTCAAGTGTCGGACTTTTTTAATCGGCAGTATACGTAGGAGGCAAGTAATATAATTGACTAAGTAAATTAATAAATGCACAATACTTTACTAAAAATTAATGTCTCCTTTCTGCACAGATTTATTTCATGCATGAAGCAGGAACGTTGGCACGCAAGTTAGACAGGTAAGGAGGCAGCGCACTGAATGAACATCGCTTTTTTCCTGTATCGTATTTTTTGAAAATTATCAACCAAGACAAATCTCTTTGTCAAATAAAAGCGTTTTTCAGACGCTATGCCCGGTATTTTTAGACATCAAACAGGACCTCCTTGTCTTTCTCCTCTCGAGGGTAGGTTTACATTATCCCAAACAGTTGTAGATACACAAAGTATGAGGGTGGATTTCTAACCACAAACACAGGACGAGGAATTTTCAACGAAGCGATTCTGAATTAAGTGTACAGTTACCTACGTAAACTATACGTTTTAATCCGACGTATGAATTGTAATACACAGGCACTCCTAATTAACAGTTCTCTAAACATTAGGTAATGTAAAGAACTATTGAGAAAAGACGAAAGATTTCTCTCGTTGGGCTCACTAGTTCACACTGTACTTTTCTTTTTACTACCAAATTTTGTCACCAATATTCAAATATTTTTATGTGTTACGCTTTCTTTCCGTTAGTTTTTCTTCTTTGTTCATTTAAAAGTCTTCTCTTCGTTAAGTGAATAAAATTGCTAATTTATCTTCTCTTAAATTAGCCGCCAAATGAAATAGTTTGTGCAATGAAATAATGGTCCGTGGAACAGTCCATTGCTAAATCAGAATTTCTGAATTTTATCGTAATACTTTAGCAAAATAGTTGAGTGTAAAAGAACTTATTGGATAGTAGGGTTTTCGGAGTCAAAGTACTCTTTAAAATGACAAAAATTTCGAAAACATGCCAAACATCATCACAAGTTTAACAGAACCTCAAAAACACGTGTATCAGGGCTTGATTCTAATATTTTGCTTCATACCAGGGATTATTTTCTCAACAAATGGAATTTTTGGTTTACCAAAAGGAGTTGACAAGTTTTGCAAAGAAATCCACAACCACGCTTATAAAGCACCAATCATTTCATGAAAATGGGTTATCAACGTGAAAACATACTTTGATACAAGTACGAGCCAAGAAAGATAAAATTAAACTCTGTAAAACACACATAAAACAGCACATAAATATATTAAATCTATAAGTAAAAAAAGATATTAATCATTAGCAATAGAGAAGGAGAGGTAGAATAATATATATATTAATCATTAGCAATAGAGAAGGAGAGGTAGAATAATATATACATAAAGTAATATAGTTATTAAAAACGAATGTAAAAACGGCGTGTCTTTATTTAACATTTTTTCATTTTTTTTATTTTTGATAAGATGCTTTTTTACAACAGAAGCAACGAATAATCATTATTCATTTTTTCAAGTCAACGCCAGCATACCATCAGGAACTCAAAATGAAGACTTGTGGCTAATGAGTTATCCCTCGTAATAGAGTAGTATGCGTTGAGGAAACATGCGAAATTCGGGATGAAGTCACGGCGTTTTGACGCAGACAGCAGCATTTGACATTACTGAACTTTAGACTCTTAAATTAATGCGAATATTTCAAAGTGATCGTTAGGATTGATGTTTTTCCCGATGACAAGGATGTGGATGAATACGCACAGTTTTTATGAGAGCATTTGCTGATCAATGCAGCCGACTGTCTCAGTCCAAAAAGATCCTCAAAAAGTTTGATTTCTCGACAAAAAAAACATAGTTGACACACTTTAAAACCGTCACAATTCATAACACCAAATACATGAGTTTAAAGCTGTTTAGACCTCCAAGTATGTCATCCCTCCGCAAAATACGTGGGTGTGTGAGCCATTTTCTCAGATACTTCCTGGCTCTCACATCAAATGACAGTCACTAAGAAGTGATGATTCCGATATGAGCGGAGCGGAAGAATCAAACTTACCAAGATTCCAGGGGTAGATCAGAGTCGAGGAAAGGATATTGGAGTCTCAAAGTGGGTACGGTTGAGATAATCGTTGATCCGAGGCACCTGATTCACATGATTACTGCGAGAAGGAGGCTGGCTCCATGTAAAATCGAGAAGCACCGCACGAACGAGAACTTCGGTGCTTTTCCGTGAGAGGGCTCTGCCGCTCACCCCGATCGATTCCTGTCCGCGCAGCCGTTCCCGGGCCCGGGCCCCATATTCATCCCGCTGCATGTAACAAGTGGGGTTGTGAATAATGCACGCTCAAGTATGACGGAGGTTGCCAGGTTTAATAGGATATTTCATCGGCCTTGTAAACGGCCATTACTAATGCTTTGAACTCTGATCAAAGTGGCAAGTAGTTTTGCCTGTGGAGAATATTTCACACTGCCAAGGGATATTCGAGTCAGTGCCAAAAAAGATTGAGCCCTGGGTGAAGGACAATGCCATCAGTTTTGATTCATTTCAGCCCGAAAGGCCCGTATAAATTTATGACATGTTAAGAAAAAGATCCCATTTCATTTGCTTGTATAACGCATAACTAATGCGGCTGAGATCGTACAGTTTCAATTACAACTCGGAAGAAAAAAAATCATCTTACAGCTAAATTATTTTCAAAGGAAACTAAGTATAAATTAAATACAATAAAAGTATTCTAATCGGTCTTCTAATTTTCATCGAATGTTTACCAACAGCTTGGCTCTGAAGTCTAATTTTTGGGCGGAATCTACATATTTTTGCGAGCTATGAGAATTTTGGATAATAAGGCAAGCGATGTTGCAGGGAGTGAGAGAAGGATGCAAGTATCATCGCATAGTTTATGATTGGACGATGTGAAAATTTTATAACCCAGAAACTCTCTTACAGTTCTTATTTTCTTTTCATTATTTGCAAGTTTAAAACGTTTTACCAAAATATTTTGTTGCATTTGAGCATAAACTCCAAGATTATGATCAACCTTGCAACCTACCAAATAAGCTGATAAAATGTTAAAACGGATAAAGGAAAGTATGGTCAGTTCACCAAACGACCGATGGTAAATCTATTTTGGTCCCCATACATCGACGAAAAATGGTTTACTTTTTTGAGAATTTTGGGATGATGCAGAAATTCCTCACACCCTTTGTTAGTTTTGAGAGAACGGGTGTGAAAAACTTCAATTGAATTGCTAAGTGAGGAAGATGGAAACTGACACTTTTTCCTTCTTGCGTGAATGAATGGTGATTCGTCTGAAAAATTTGAATGTAAATGTTATCATCTGTAGTATGTGATGAAGCATTTGTTGTAGATTTGAAAACAACGGAAGCTCGTCTCAGCAACAGTTTTGACCTCGCAATCCGCTCTCTATGGTGAACGTTGAGAACTATAACTGTAAAAAGCAACAGTTTGGCCTTAGGTATCGCTCTCTGTAGGGTGAGGAGAGAACTACAAGAATGAACTCAGAGTGGATACCGCACAGGGATAAATTTTACTAAAAATCTATTGCATGTAAACATATTGTTTGCCTCTTTTTCTATTAAAAGTTTTTTATCGATTAAGGAAAATCTATCGGTAAAAAGCAATCTTCCCCACTCTCTCTGACTGATAAGGTTTTTACTAATTTTTACTCGGTTACTCGTTACGTGTCTCTGCGTGTTTTGAGCTTGAGATTATTTAGGTTGGTTCCCCTCTAAACGTATGAAGTCTGTTCCCTCGCTATTCTAATACCTCGTATAAAAGTTTGTATATCTCAAATTTGAAGGCGCTTCGAATGCTCTCCTGTTATCGTCGCAGTTAGAGCGAAAAACAAACATTCATCATGACGAATTTGTCTAAACTCATTGATTTTATTGAATAATTCACAATTTTTGGTTAATGGCAATTCTCCAGAAATGACTTGTGTCTAAATGGTTCTTAAAATATGCACAATTTATCAAGAAAAAAAAAAAAAAAAAAAAAAAAAAAAAAAAAAAAAACACATTGGATCTAGAGTACAGACTCTTGAAAACATTG